CTGGGTATACATGAAATACAATTTATATTAATATTGCCTGCACGTAGACGTGGTCTAAGCCCTATATCGTATATCACACAGGAACTTCTCCTCTCGAGATTCACATTCGATCGAATTTTTACGGAAATCGTTAATTAATAACACGCTGGAACGAAAGAAGAAGAAGAAGAAGCTTCGCGTTTCGTCGCGCGAGCTTTAAGAAATTGGAGGAAAGTGAGAAATTCGACGAGGCGAGGGCGAAAAGTAACGGAAGATGGTTGGTTGTTCGCTAGGTAATTGATAACTCGCACGAGGATACAATATGTCTTTTCTTCTCATCGACGAACCGGCGCCAACGCGGAGATATCGTTTCGGGTGAAGATACCGCGCGGCTTCTGCAGTTCTCCAAGCAGAGCGACACAAGAGAGAGAGAGAGGAAACGCCACCCGCGGATTGCCAGACTTTAAGAATTAAAGGAAGTTCTCGGTGGCTGCCTCTCTCTCTCTCTCTCTCTCTCTTCCTCGACGACCGACTCCGCTCGCGAGTTATGGCTCGCTAAAGAAAATTGACTTGAACCACGGCCAGGATAATAAAAGCGCGTTGCTGCGAGGAAACGCGGGCGAGAAGAATGAAGGAAGAAGCGATACCGAAGGGGACGAAGGAGCAGATGAGGGGACGATGATATCGAAGAGGCGTCGTTTACAATGCCCGATATCGATAGATAGATGGATATCAATTAAGAGTTGTTACGTCCTTTCCGCGTCATGCCATGAGATTATGGTAACGATTGAACGAACGCGCCGATATTGGGATCCTTATACGTGTGTGTGTGTGTGGAAGATAAATTCGATGGGGGTTAGTTATCGTCGCCTTCTCGTAATAAGAAAGTAATACAAGTTTGTAGTTGGCTTGGTTCGTGCGGGGATAATAATTGTTTTTCAATTTTCCTCCGCAATTTAATTTATTATTATTATCGATGTTTAAAATAAACATGGGAACGATCATCGTCGAGATTTTCGTCTACTTATCTGTGAATTACGTTGAAAAATAATTAAGAAAAAGAACATATATGAATAATCTTCGTATACAACAACAAGTTTTTAGATAATATTGACAAGTTTAATTTTGATTCCCGCGCCGGGATATTAATTTTAGAATATTTTATCGGGATAACACGAGGGTAGAAAAAAATAAGAGAGATTGGCGCGTAATAAATAAATTCGTATCCCATTTACTCGCGTATGATGATAATAATAATAATAATAATTTGGCAAAACATAGAGGTCGTAATGCTCCGTAAGAGGGTAATTTGCTCGCTAACACGTGTTGTTTCGTTAATAAATTCACGGTAGAGCGGGATAATAAGCCGGTCTTCAATAAATAAACGCGGCCGGACAAGGTCAGTTAATGTAACGATACCGCGTAGGGAGTGGATCGCATGAGCGGTGAATTGTTATTTTATTTATAGTTGGTCAGTTCCGATTTTACATTTAACTGGATAGCACTGAATTGAATCACTGATATGTAAACCAGCGAGCTGGAATTCTGGTAACTCGATGATAAACGGCTCTGCCCTGACTATTGAGACACGCGCATTATTTTTTAACTGTCACGATCAGCGATGATGGATTGGAGGATTGTTGCTCCCGATATTCCTCCGATCGAACGAAAATCCATCGAACGTTTCTCGCTTCGACGAAAGAGGAGAGTTTTTTTTTTCCCCTCTTTTTTTTTCCTTTTTTCGCGTATCGCGCTTCGTAATTAAAACTGTCGCTAATAATAAATAATCCTGAACGAATGAGAAATCGAATATATTCGATTCATGAATCGTAATTAACTGCCGGTCCAACGTGATTACATTATATTGTCAGAGCCATTGACGGAGAGAAGTGTGATCTTTCCCGAATATAGAGTAGAACGTTTCAAAGCGTTTTTCCAGATTTATGTACTATACAACTACCCTTCTTGCGTTTCATAGTTAGTTAATCCCTCGTGTTCCTTCGTATCGAACGTTGTACCACAACAGTCGGCAGAATATTGAGATGGCTAATTCAGCGTAGAAAATGAAAAAAAGAAAAAGAAAAAGAAATATCAAAAGTTTCTACAGTTATAGGAAACTATCGAAATAAATATCGGTAATCGTATTCTCTTCCTCGAATAATGAACTGACCTACAAATCCGAATAGCGGGTTGGCGGGTATGGTTTCCGCAAGATAAGCCGAAAAGCACGGTTCTTTTAACGCTTTTTCCGCGTCATTGGGACGAATCGAATCGTGCATTCGAACAACAGGGGTGGTGGGGGAGAAGATCATCAAAAAGTGATGTTGCTTTTTGTTTTTGTTTTTTTTTTTTTGTTTTACCTTGTTCGGTGTGGTTGCTTGTTGCTGCGGCGAACAGCTGGTGCTGTGTATGGTCGGTTGGTTGGTCGTGGCCGGTACAATGCCTTGGTGATTCAGGTGGCTCAGCTGATTGAGCTGCGTGAGTTGTTGAGGCTGCTGCACCGGGTTCTGGGTAGTGGCCTGCAGCTGTTGATGATGCGTCTGATGCGCAGGATGGGTCGTCTGATGATGCGTGGCGGGGAAGGTGGGCACCGTGAACGGGACGAACAGCATCGGGCTGCCGAGGATGTGCGCACCACCTCCACCCAATGCCCCCGTCTCCTCCCTACACCTTTTTTGTGCGTTTTTGGTTTTGGATAACTCTTTTAATCCATCGACCGTGTTTTTTTTTATTTATTTATTTATTTTTTTACTTCGACGTGCTACTACGTATACTCTTATTGTATTGTACTTTTTTTTTTTTTTTTTTTGTCTCGACACTGCCGACGACGACGACGAGCAGAGTAGAAGCGGTTGTAGCGGTAGTAGTAGTAGAAGTAGTAGTAGTAATGGTAGTGGTAGTTGTAGTAAATAGGAGTAGTAGTAGTAGTAGTAGTGGTAGTAGTAGAGTAGTAGTACTATTATACTGTGTCGACGTGAAGCTATAATGTATGTTTAGGAATTTATCATTACCTGCACTCCTGCCCCAGCCCCTGGTGCTGGGGGTGGGCGTAGGGGGCGGCTCGGACGGAGGTG